GTTCAAATCTCACCAGGCTCAAGGTTGACTCAGCCTTCCATCCTTCCGAAGTTGGTAAAACGAGGACCCAAATTGCTGGGGGCAAGAGGCTGACTCTCGAAACCGCTTAGAAACAGATGTAAAGCACTGTGAAGCCAGGATATAAGTCTAAGTACTATTGCTATTGCAGGCTAACTCTGCCTGCTGCCAGCAGTTCAAATCTCACCAGGCTCAAGGTTGACTCAGCCTTCCATCCTTCTGAGATCAGACAAATGAGGACCCAGACTGCTGGGGGCAAGAGGCTGACTCTCGAAACCGCTTAGAAACAGATGTAAAGCACTGTGAAGCCAGGATATAAGTCTAAGTACTATTGCTATTGCAGGCTAACTCTGCCTGCTGCCAGCGGTTCAAATCTCACCAGGCTCAAGGTTGACTCAGCCTTCCATCCTTCTGAGATCAGACAAATGAGGACCCAGACTGCTGGGGGCAAGAGGCTGACTCTGTAAACTGCTTAGAGAGGGCTGTAAAAGCACTGTGAAGTGGTATATAAGTCTAAGTGCTATTGCTTGCTACCTAGGTGTAAATTTTCTCAACATACGTGCCTTCAAATATGGAAACGTGAACTATTATATCCTCTGGTAGAAAAAGACTGGGCCTTGATCTATGTCGTAAGGGCACATTCTCAACCAAAGGAACTTTGCTCCTAATAAAATTAAGAGCTGGGGGGGGGGGAAGCATTTCTTCTCACAGAGAACACTTCTTAATAAACCACATTCTCTTATTAGATTGAGGAATCCCACAGTGTTATTATTATTAGATAGTAACTCCCTGTGGTTACACAGAGGGGTGTAAACTCAACTGCATCAAAATTGTGTTTTTCTGAACGGTCCAGAGTCACTTAAGATGAGATGGGTGGTATAGGAATTTAACAAATAAATCTGCAAACTGGGGGGGTCAAACATTTCTTTTGGTCATGCGGCACGATAGCGGACGTAAATATGTTTTAAGCTACTTATTTTATTCTTAATTTCTATCTTCGGGCTGATATTTGTATATTCCGCTGGTCAGGGGGGAATGATGTTTTGATTGAGAATGAAGAATTCATGGCCTTCAACATGCTACTGAAGAACAAGTCTATCCATGTTGTCCTTGGTGTTTGGGGCCAATGAATGGCGTTACATCAGGAAAATCAGGGTTCCAAAATCTCAGACTTCCCAGGAAGACTAGTAGACAGGAAGCCTTGTTGTGGCCTGCCAGTGGTGGCAGACTCAGACAGTGAGGAGGTTGGGGAGGAACATGGGCCAGTCCTGGAGTCTGGGGAAGGCTCTGATGGGGGCTCTGTGTCGGAGGCAGAGATGGGGCCAGGGCCGTCCAACAGTTATCAGCTGCCTTTGGAGTCGGCTATCAGTTGTGCAGAAGAACAGCTGGAGCCTGTTCCCAATGTGTGCATGCACAGAGCTGCCAGGAGAAAGAAAAAGTTAAGAACAATAGCAATAGCAATAGCAGTTAGACTTATATACCGCTTCATAGGGCTTTCAGCCCTCTCTAAGCGGTTTACAGAGTCAGCATATTGC